AAATAAATGCAATGAAAAGGTCCCCAGTTCCAGTGAAAGGAAATGATTTCCTTCTCAAGTGATTATGGGCACCATTATGCAAATAGTAGCCAGGCCAACAAAGCGGCCTCATACGGAAAGGGAAATAGAGCCAGCAAAAGCAGCTCTGGGATCTCCAGGCAGGGGAGAGCAAGATATTACCCATGTAATAACACCGCCGGCGAGTGGTGTGGTGCTGTCCACACGAGGGGTGGGAGCCATGAAAGAAGCTATCAAGGCACTTGTGATGTGTAAGAGTGGTTTTCTTGACAGCGGTGGGAAAAAGAAGAAAGAAAATTAAAGAGGGGAAAAGGGGAAATAAGAAGAAAGAGGAAAGGAGAGGAAAATGGAAAAGAGGAGAAAAAGGAAATAAAAAGTAAAAGGGGAAATGAAGGGAAAGGGGAAAAAAAGGAAAATGAAAGGAAAAAGGGAAAAGGAAAAAAGGAAAAGGAAAAAAGGAAAAGGGAAATGGAAAGGGAAAGGGAAAAAAGGAAAAGACTTTGGAGCCTGAGCACAAGCGTCAGGCCCCAGTTTCTCTCTGCTCTCCCAGCCCCGTGCTCACCGGTGGTTTCCCAGCAAGGACAGGAGAAGCCCAGACCTGCACCGTGCAAGCCCAAAGCTGGGTTTGGGGCTGTGCTGCCCAGGCTGGCCCGGCACAGCCGCTCGGCGCTTCCCAGCTCAGCACTGCCACAGTGGCAGGAGCTGCCCCCGCCCCGCGGAGCTGGGCTGTATCCCTTTCTTGTCTCCTTTGCAAGCATTTAGCGGTAGCAGATAAATAAACCGACATCAATCATCTGTGCATAGCAGCACGATCACCTTACGGGACTCATTTCCTCTCAAAATACACAAGTTTAAATTCTATTTAGCTTTCCTTAAATTTTAATGTCTACTTTTGACATAAATATTTTAGCAGTCGGGGAGGGAAAAAGTGGAAACGGGTTAGAGGAGATACCCGGAGCTTCCCCTTGGGCTGCAGAGCGTGAGAAGCCACCTCTGCTCTCCATGAAGGGCAGATACCTGGGCTGTGGCCGGCCCCGCAGCCCCTCCTGGAGCTGGGGCTGGTGTGCAACCCCCCGCAAGGATTTGGGTGCTGCATCGGCTGCAGGGCACCGTGGGGAAGTGATTGGGGAGCAGGGAAGGTGCCTAAGGCACGGCACTGGTTAGGGAGCGAGGACTGACCAAGGACACGATGAGTATTTCCAAACCCAGCCATGGACCTGCAGGATGCCACCAGCTGCTCCGAGCCCAGTTAGCACCCATCAGTGGGGGGTGGCAGGCGCTGCAGGTGGTCCTGGGGAGGGGGTGCTGCTGAGAGCCCCCCACCACACCCCGAGGGCTGCCGGTGCTGGGGCCAGCGCCCCAGTGCTGCCGCGCTCTGCCCGGCCGGGTGCTCCATCTCTGTCAGCTCTGTCGGAGCTGATACGTGCTGGCTTGCCTTCAGCATTAAGCAAATCAGTTTGGCTCGTTATTTCTGCAAGACCTTTAAAACAGAACGACCTCTGACTGCAAAAAGTCAGCCAAAGGGTGAGCTCCTTGCCAGGCACAGCAGGGTTAGGGAGGCTCTGCCTGCACGCAGCCACCAGCGAGGTGGGCAGCAGCGCTCTGCCCATGGCCAGCAGCTGCTCCGTGCCACAGGGATGTGCTCTGAACAGTGGCATCTGCAAACATGCCTACGTGTGAGCTGCAACACCTCTGCCACACGCCTGCACCTCCTCTGCCCTGTTTATGCGGAGCTCTGTAAACTCATCCCAGAGATTCCCAGGGCTGTAGTCAGATGGCTTCTGTAGGTCATCGGCAGTTTGTTTCCTCGTGGAAATTTACATTCCCTGAAAGAAAACGTATGGATAGCAAGAGGGACATGCCCCCGACCTCCTTCCCTCTTCCCCTGATGGAGATGGGGCGCTTTGCTGTTTTGGAGATGGTGCTGTTTGGCTCAGGGGCGCAGGCTGCAGCATCACCGGTGGCAATTTTGGGCAGGATCTGGTGGTGTCTGGAGCTGGGGACTGCTTCATGGCTTAGAGCTTGCTCTCTGGGGCCCCAAACCCAGCCCAGCAGATGCACGAGGGAGAGGAGCAGCTCCAGCAGCCCCCGCTGCAGGCAGCAGCACCCCGCGGCACGACAAGACTTGCCTTGGGACTGCCGTGTGCGCACAGCCCGGGCTCTCCATCACGCGGTACCACATGTGGTTATCTACGGGGGAAAACAGGTGCAGCGTGCTATCGAACCCATATGGTAACCGTTTAGCCTCACTTTGCTGCAGGATGAATTATGGCAGAAGGAGAAAGGCAGAGAGTCAGACCCAGCCAGGGCTGCCGGTTTGGAGATTCTGAAAATCAACCGGTTCTGGCCCCAAAACTGGTCACACCCTGGCCTGCTCCTGCTGTTCCAGGGACGTTACCTCCCCTAGACCTGAGGAATGCCAACCTTGTCCTCCTACAGACACCATGAGGGCACAGCACAGCCCCTGCTGGGAGCAGGACCTGGGGGGCAGCAGGCAGGCAGGTTGGGAAGAGGTGGGCTCCGTGGGTGCAGCAGGGGGGGCTCTGCTTTGGCTCCCCCTTCCCACCTCTGGAGCACAGCCCCTGCTTGCTGCAATCTCCCCCAGTCCTGCTACTGTGCATTTGCTGGCTGGAGAAACGACCGCCTGAAAGAGAAGCACTGTGGTTTACCTGGGAGAGGGAGATCAATCCTGCAGCTTGCGGAGACCTCCAGCTGGAGGCCATCAATCCCTCTGTCAGAAGGAACTCCTGCTTGTGCTGCTGGAGTGAGCGATGGACTGACCAGTCCCCGTGTTGGTCATGGTGCATCAATAAAGCACTCTGTCAGCCACGCTGAAGGAACTGATGGGCAGCGCCAGGCTTGACAGGCCAGGACAGATTATCCCTCCGAGCTATTAGCAAATTTAGGGATGGGGCTCGTCTCGGCACGGCCCCTCACGCCGGGCACCAATGTAATAACAAACGTTGTCCATCACCAGCAAACCATCTTGACCTCTCCCGAAGAGCCACCAGGATCCTGTTGTTCACGTATTCCTCCACGTTATTAGTTCCAGCCTGGTCTGGGTCTTTTTAACCCTTGGCCTCATGGGCTTACCTTCATCTCAGAGGAGTTTATGGAATGAGATACATGCCCTTGCCCTTTCCAGCCCGGAGAAAGCTCCTCATGACATGACAGAAATCCAAGAAATCAACAACTCCGGAGGTTTGTAATAAGTCTGAATCCTTCCTAAACCCAGACACTCAGCACGAAGAGGGGTCAGTGAACCCCGAGCTCCTTCCCCTCTGCCTCCTGCCATCAGTCTCTGGGTGGATGATATGAAGCAGATGAGGCTCTCCTGGGACACCCAGCTGCTCTGAAGGTATTTCCATGGCTTGTGTCTCTGGAGCATGTGCTGGAGGCCGGGGAGCATCTCATGGGGGTGCCCCGGGGAGGGGAATGAGCCCTGCCCTGTGCAAGGGTCACCTACATGCACACACGTGTGCAGGCGTGTTCGTGTCCCGGCACACACATCTGTGCAGGAAGGGTCCAAGCTCCTGTTCCTCTTGGAAGACCCTCGGAGTCAGCAACCACCTCCTGCAGGAGGAAAAGGCACGGAAAAAGTGTTTAATCCTGCTGGGGACCCAGCACAGCGGGCCTGGCTGCACGAGAGGGGCCCTGGGAGCGGGAGGGAGCCGGAGCAGCAGATGCATCCATCTTCCCTCCTTCCAGCCTGCAGGTAAAATAAACACAGCTTCAAAAACACCCGTGCAACACCACTTTACTTGCTTCTGCAAATCCCGGCTCTGACACTCTCCCTTTCTCTGTCACACACGCTTCCTCCCTGTCCTCCCCGATTTGGCCTCACATCTCTCACTCCTTCGCCTCTCCCGTGGAGCAGCCGGGGTGTGCAGGGGCTGGTGAGGACGGAAACGCCGTGGAGCTGCCCGGGGAGCGGGCTGCCAAGCCCCATAAATAAAAGAACCCTGTTTGCTTTCTCCTTGTCCAGCCCTGTGCAAATATTTACTGCCCCCATGACCCGCGGAGGCAGCAGCGGCCGGGGATGGGGACGGGAAGCGGCGGCTCTGCACGGGGCTGCTGCTGCGGGAAGCATCTGCCCTGCTCCGGGGACTGGCAGCCTTTGTACTGCTCCAGCAATTAGCAGAGCGTCTGCAAACCTTGCCAGCTGCTTGAGGACCTCATCCTGAGTTCGTCAGGTTCTTTCTTAATGGCCTTATGGTGTGCTTTCCCAGGGCCAGAGGCAGAGGTGCGGGGTGGGGAGGTGAGCAGCAGCACGCATCCTGCTCGTCCTCTCCCCAGGCTGTCCCGAGGTTTTACGAGCAGCACATGCAGCACTCAGGGCTGGGAAACCGGGGGCCTGGGGAGCTAGTAAAGCGTGTGTTAGCTCTCCAGGCAGCCAAAACGTGGTACCTGTGAATGATTCACATCCCTCGTGCTGCAGGGTGAGAAAAGTCTGTCAAAAGCAGAATAATGGCTCACAGGAGGAGATGCCCGCTGAATTGTCTGTCCGGGAGGCTCTTGGTTTCCCCCAGGGCTCTGCACATCTCTTCCCCTTGCTTGCTCAGTTGGTGTCTCTCCCAGTCGCTCTGGGCATGTGCTTCCCCTCCTGCCATGGCTGCTGGCCGCTGGCCTGCTTTTTAATTCAAAGCTAAGCCTGCACATCTGCTCGGATATACGGGGAGCCTGCAGCTCCGGGTGCCCACCTAGAGCAGTGCCAGGCTCCCAAAAACCTGCAGGCACCCCGTGCCACGGAGCTTCTCCCACCAATAATTGGGAAAGCCCACAGCAGGCAGGAGAGCAGAGCTGCCCTTGCCTTCGCTTTCCCTGGCATCACCCCACGGTGGGTGTATGGCTCCGGGGTGATGATGGAAGGGAAAGTGTTAACTGCCCCCCTCCAGCAGCTGCAATCAACTGGTCTGACTGGGATTTGCTGGTGGCAGGGCTGGGCCAGCTGCAGGCCATATAAATACTGCAGGGAGGGGACCATGGCCTGGTTTGGATGCTGGTCAGCTGCAGGTGGGTTGTTGGGGCCAGAGCCATCTGGAGATGAGTGTGGTTCAGATGGTACCAGGGGAGGGGTGGCAATGACGTTTCTCTCCCGGTAAGTCAGTCTGCTCTTGGTCTTTTTCTTCAGGGTTATTGTGTTATGTGTGTCCCCCTGTGGGCTCTCTATGAGGGAGCCAGGGATGCGTGGCAATATGAAACGTCCTCCTTGCCCTTTTAGTGTCCCAGGTGCCTGCAGGCTCCATATCCAGCCAGACCTGTGGCTGAACAGATTCACTAACAGCTTTCTTTTGTAATATCTCAGCTTGGAGGAGTTAATTATCTCCAAATATTGAAAAGGGCAGATGGATTTTGTAGGCTTTACTTGGCTGTGTAATTTTGGTGCCCCAGAGATGCTGCGTGGTCTGGCTGCGCTGAGTGACACGCCGTCGCGCCCGGGCGCAAATGTCACTTGAGTATATCACCTCCTTCCCCGCCTGCTCTGCCCACCGGGGAGAGCTGCCTCTGCCAGGCTGTGCCGAGACTGCTAATGCTGTGCCAGCCATCTGAGGACGTGCTGGAGGCCGCCTTGTGAACCTCCACGCTGTGCTTGTAGCCAAGGCAGAGCTGCAAATCCAGTGCTCCTGGCTCGAGCCTGCGTGCAAATGTCAGGGCAGGATTCTCTGCACATCCTGCGTGTGGAGGCAGCGAGAGGCCCGTGCATCCCCGGGGGATGATGAGGAGCCCTTGCTCCAGCTGGCTGGAAGGCGGCCCCTCTCAGCCCCTCTTTCATCACTCCCCTTCCTCGAACCTCCTCTCTGGGGTTTCGGAGAGCTGTGCTAATGCTCTGGCAGAGAAATGAGGGGTGGGGTGTGAAGCTTTGCTGTCCCGGGGGGTTGTTCCACCCCTCTGGATCTGCTGCGTGTGTGCTGGAGGTGGGCTCAGCCCCTCTCCCTGCCTTAGTGGCTCAGAAACCCACCTGTGTATGTTTGCATGGGCCTGGCTGCATCTGGGGACAGGGTTTTTGGTGTGATGCTCATGCCGGGGATAAACTCTCCTTGATTTTTACGTCTCCTCCATCTCCTTGTGCCTTGTTTCAAGCAGCGAAAGTTAAATGTGCCATCACATTATCAGCATGCTCAGCCCAGAAACTAAATAGAGATGTTCCTGGTGAACTCACTTTAATCTCCGTTTGTTTGCCAAGCAAAGCAATCTCCCCATGCAGTTATGGCTCTCAGAAGCTGTCGAGGTGGAGGTGACTGCTAAAAAGGAGACAGGCGCAGATTTTTTTGTGCTTGGGTTTAATGCAGGAGGTGAACTTTGTGGGACCTTTGCAACACTTCACTTCTGTTTATAGGTAAAGGTTGACTTCTATGTTTGGGGGATCTGGGTCAAATAGCTAGCGGGGCTGTCTTCCAGGCTTTCCCAATTGTTGGAGTTGATTGAATTGGACTGGGGAGGGCAGTGACCACAATGCTTCCCTCCGAGCCTCCAGCTGGTTTGACTTGCAATGCAAATGCTTTCTCCTGTCACCTCCTAATGATCCTTTTTCCCCTTGCGGGTGTATAATTTCCCCTAGAAGTCTCCAGTGAATGGTTTCCATCACAGTTATTTGTCCCTCTCTTTTCAAGTCTGTGGCAACTTCTATAGAATTGCAGACCTGGCATGATTTGGGGGGGGAGTAGATTGAATTGCAGTATTTCATCTCTGGCTGTCAAGCGAGCCTGCATTACCTTCTGTGGGGCTGACAGCAAGGAGGCATCAAACCTGCTGTAATCAGGAAAATGAGCTGATGGTGGCCCGCTTTGCAGAGCTCCCTGCTCCGAGCCTGGGCTCTGGCCGAGCCGTGCGGCTCCTGGGCCGGTGGAGAGGGGACGGAGGAGGAGAAAGGAATGCTTGGCTCAGCACAAGGAGGGAGGAAGGGAGAGCAAATGCTCTGCTGGGGGATGCTATTGGAAAGACATCATAGAGGAGGAGTTCATAAATCCGTGGGGCTTCTCACGGCCGAGGCTTGATTCATCTGAACATCAAAGGAGGGGAAAAGCCCCTCTGCGAGAGGCTGCGGGAGTTGGGGGGAGAGGGCGGCAGCTGAGGCACTGGGGCCCTGCACCTCATCCCGAAACAAAGTGCTTTGAAACCCCTCGTAGCCAGCAGTGGAAAAAAACATCACCTGCAGGATGTGCCGATGTGTGTCTGGGGCCTGATCCACGTCCCAAACGATGGCAGATGATGTTGTGGTGCTGGCTGGAAACGCTGACAGCATCGGTGTGCTTTGTGCAGTGCTCACCTGGGGCTGTGCGTGCAAAGGTGCAAACCCAGCCTGCTGGCTGCAGAGGCAGGGCTCTGGAGGAACAGCCCTGGCCTGCTTTCTCACAGCCTTTGGGTTGCCAGAGTGCCTCCCCCAGGCTCTCCCCAGTTTTGGTACTTGCTGTGAGCATCGCCTGCCCCACGAGCAGCTCAGCAGGAGCGCAGCCACCTAAAGCCGTGGCTGGGTTGTGAGATGCTCCTTATCCCAGGACATCCTCGTGCTGTGTCAGCTCTGTTTTCCACTGCAGCATGCAGGACAGCACATCTCTGCCATCCTCTGTGGCCCTGCAGGAGGCAGGGGCTGGGAGGAGGTGGCCGGGCTCCTGCCTTGGGCTGGTGTCAGCTCTGCTGATGGGAGAGGGCAGCCTTGACAGGCGATAAAGCACGTGCCGTGTTTATTGACCGCTGCTTCTGCAGGGGAACTAAACCTTTCCTCCCTGGGGGACTGTAAGGCTGATTGATACTTAGGCAGCCTCTTGCTGTGCGTTTTTCTCCTCTCTGACAGCATTCCTGGAGCAGGCGGTGTGGGCAGAGGAACTGCTACACAGAACGGCTGCTTGCCCTGAGCTCCAGTCCTGGCACAGGAACCCCTGCTGTGTTTTGGACAGGAGGGGACTGGTTTTCGCTCCTGGGGGAAGGAGAAGCTGGGTCTGTGCAGCAAAGTGTGGGTGCTGCAATGGGCATGGAGCCACAGGGGCTGTGTACCCCCTCCTCACAGTTACGTGGGTCAGGATGTGCTGTGACACCTGCACAGGGACTGGATTTCTGATAGCTCCAACTCCTTGGGACCTAGGTGCAATGGGATGGAAAGGCCCTCTGTGTTTATGGAGACTTTTCCATTTTTGCATGGCTGGATCTAGAGATGACAGCTTTAGGGGTACATGTAGTGCAGCTCCCATAGCACTGCCCTAAATCCTAAAGGGAAGGGCTGAGCAGTGGGTGTGGAAGCTGTGCGGTGCCTCTGGTGTCCCTCCACAGATAAAGGATGGGAAAGGATTCCCATTTCTGCCGGGACATGGTGCCCCATCATCCTGCTGGGGTGGGAGGCAGGGTGTGAACCCAGGGCTCAAACCACTTTGTGTTAATGGTGCTGGTGGAAGAAAACTGTCTCAGCACAGGGCAAGCTGCTGGGGATATATTGGGAAGGGTCCACCTGGAATATATAGAGCTTGGGTTAAAGCAGGAGGAACTTGTAATCCTTGAGGTGCTCCCTCCAGCATCACAAAACCTCCCAAATGTGCTGCTGGGGACCACACGAGCCATTGCTGATGTGACTTCTGCCCAGGTCCCAGCCTTTGGGTGCAGCACTGCCCTGAGCCGCTGGAGCTTCTGCTGCCCCACGAGCTGCAGCGAGATGCACGGAGCCTAACACATCTCCCAGCAGTTTTTCTTTGCTCCTCTTCTACTTTGCCAAAGTAGGGGAAGTGGTGCTGGAGGAGAAGGCTGTATAAATCAACCTGCTTTATTGCCATGCACTGTTAAACTGCTGCTGCATTTCACCCTGGAGATGGCTGCATTTCAGTGCAGGATGAATTGATTTCTGTATACCAAAGGTCAAATCCTGAGCTTCTGACTTAGTCCTTTCTTAGTCCGTACAAAGGCAAAATCCCCATTGAAGCAAGAATTTGGATATCAGCTGCTCTATAAATAACACAGAAGTAAGTGAGAACTAAGCCAGGCTCTGAAGCTCGCGAAGTGCTTGGGGATCCTCGGGAATGGATGGTCCTGGGTAACTTCTGATTTCGGCAGCAAAGGGAAGAACAGAGGCTTGGATCACAAAGTGGGAAGGCTTTTTCCTTTTCAGCTCTTCTGCAGCCGACTTCCTCGCTTTGACAGAGGAATCCCTGAGAAGTGCAGCCTTGCTCTGAGCCATTTGGTCTCATCACCTCGCAGGAGCTTTTTGGTGCCGGGAGGATTCAAACGGGCAGGCGTGCAGTAGGCAGGCGGATGAAATGTCTCGCGTTCCCCTGCACTTTGTTTCTCTCTATCCAGCTTTTTTTCCGAGTTTGGCTTTCTTTTCCCCAAGGGAGGCAGTTAGCTTAATGAGGTAGCGTTCCTCTGATTGTTTCTGGAGATGCAGGCGGTGCCCCATCTCCACTCCCTGCCTCGCTCGGATCCTGCCAGATAAATCATGCTGATTTAAAATTGATCGTTCTGGGATGTGGAAGAAAGTGGAGTGGGCGGATTTACCCCATTAGGGTGCATTGATCACCATTACTGCGTGTAATCAGGGTTAATCTCAGGATTAATTGGGGGGATTTGCTGATGGAAACGATTGGCAATTTGTGTTAGTTACTGCTCTATTCGCCTCTAATGGCTTAATCAGATTACAAATTAAAAGTGGCTTCTTCCAGAGAATCTCCCTGGACTTCAGCGGCAACAGCCAGAGCAAGAGGAGAGAGGCGCATCCAGAGCATATGGTTTGCAGCTCCGAGCTAAATTACCCGGACAGGAGGATGGATGGAGAGCCGTGTCTTGCTGGGCTGTGAGGGCTGCAGCAGCTCTGGTGCCTCCTCTGCCTGCGGTACCTGAGCTGGGAACGGCAAATGCATGGTGATGATGTGCTTTGTTCGGGCATTTCTCTGGGCAGGGGGGAAACCCACCCCTAGCCTGGCTTCTGTGTGCTGTAGAGGCACTTCTGGAGTGGCATGGGGGGGCTCTGCGGGCTGGGACCAGCAGAAGCAGCACTTGGGCTCTTTCAAAACAGGGAAAAACTTTAGGAGGGAATGGGCAGAATTTCAACTCGGAGCAAACCATTAAAATAACAGTGATTCTGCAGCAAATAAATTAAGGCTGATGAGCTGAGACTGGTAAAACTAATGATAGGAAGGAGTCCTGTCCTGGAAAGAGATTTGTCTAGTGGGAACTGAGCTGAAAGCATCTGAACTCTATTAGCTCCGTCGATTATAAAGCCAGCAGGGTCTGCCCATGAGCATCTCTGCTGCAGGATGCAGGAGAGGAGTCCTGCAGCAGTGCCATTCATCTCACCCAGGGAGCCAGCACCCACTGGCCAGGCCAGAAATGGGAAGAATTAGGTACTGTCAAGCCCAGCTCTTCTGCGGGAAGGCACAAAATACATCTTTTGGAAGTGTGCTACCATCCGTTTACCTCAACAGATGGGGCTGGTTATAAGTGGGGAGGGCTCAGTCTCACCTCATTCCTAATCTGGGCTGATATCGATTGAGTTTTGGATATGTGACAGTCAGGCACAAGTGTTGGAGATTTATTTATTCAGCTATTTATAAAGACATTAGCAAACGTGAAGGAAGAAAAGAAAGTGGATGTTTCAAGTGGCTGCTGACAAGTTAGAGCAGTTTAATAAATCACTCGCAATAAACTCCTTTACGTGCGGAGAGCAACACCATGGACTTCTTTAATAAGCCATTCATGATGGAACAGGCAACACTTACAGAACAGAAATTCATTTGTGGGGCTTGTTGGTGCGCTCTGCCTGTTCCCTGCTGTAAATTGCTTGCCAGGTACGTCTGCGTCTGTGCGCGCTGGTGAGACTGTGTAAATCTTAGGTCTGCAGCTCCCGGGGAGGGCATCTCTGCCAGGAGCTGCTCCTCATCAATTAAAAGCGGAGCAGGAAGGGGTAGCTCATTCCTTGCTGACACTCCCCTGTTTTTCCACAACCACCTTATCTCCCATCGAGCCAGCTGAGACGAAGCCCTTTGCAAGGGAGTGTATCAGGCAGCCACGTACTTTAGCTGTTGCTGTAAAACACATCTCATTTAGGATTAGGTAATGGCACTCCCTGCTTTTAGCATATCCAGCAGAGGCAGCTGCTGCTTGTCATTTTTTCCAAGCCTTTGAAAATGCAGCAGCTCGAGCTGCGGCAGGGCACGGCTGGCCAAAGGACCGGCGTTTGTGGAGGGAAGAGGTAAATACCAGGGATGGACTCCAGCGAGCCAAAAGGCGTGTTTGGCCTCAGGAGGAGAGGGGTGCTGGAGGCAGGATGCTGCCCGCTGGGTTTCAGCAGGTCTGTGGCCGTGCTGAGCAGCAGTGTGGCTACAGCTCAGTCCCAGAAATGCCCCCGAAATCTGGCTGGATAGCTGGCGGAGGTGAGCACGGCTGCGGCAGGGTCACGGTGCCTGCTGCATCAGAAAGCTCAGGAGAAAGCCTGGCCTTCTGGTGCCTATTGTATCCAGGGGGGAAAGAAGGAAAACTTTATTTTTTGTCTTCATACTTGGCTTAGACTGGGGGATCAACAACGTGCTTTGTGCACGCCAGGCTTTTAAATGGACCTGATGCAGGCTTCGGAAATGTCAGGCATTGTTCTGTCTATCCTGGAGCATTTGTATGAAAAGGTGAAAAAACCCTGTTCAAATAGAGGCGAGACTATCTGACTTGACTTTGAACACTGCTTTTGTTATTGTGCTCCTCAGGCTATGTGGTGTTTTATGAAGGCTTTGCAAGAAATTGCAATAAATATCTTCTGTTTCTAATGTACATGCCTTCTTAAATGCAAACAAAAAGGGAGGAGGAGGTCAGTGGTCATTCCTTATATTTGTTTGCTTGCAGACGAAGTATTCCAGGGACAAAGCACAACCAGGATCTGTGGAAATGGATATTATTTCCTGGGTGGAAAGAATAATAAATTCTAAACCAAACAAAACCCCTACATCAGTGTTTTTTTTAGCATCTACATGCTGGCATATGGCGTGTACAAGAACGACACCTTTCGCTCCTCACAGCGTTGGCTTCGAGGAGATACAACTGTGTCTGAGCCGTTCTCCTCTGCCAGGTGCAATTCCTGAAACCCCTTGGCAGGAGCTAGTGGGGCTGCTCTGTTATTTGTTTTTTACTGTTTCTTTATTAAAAAGCTCCAGACGCGGGCAGGCTTGCTTTGTTCCGCGCTTTATTGGTGCCTCTGCTCCCCGGTCTGATAAATGGATTGTCTGAGGCTTGAACTGGGTGCTCTGTTTGACTTCCCTGCTTCCGTGCATTTTTTCCACGGCTTTAATCTTTCAATCTCTCTCACAGCCAGCCAGGTAACTTGCCACCACACGCTGGTGGTTGCCCACTGCTAACCTGTGCCTGGAGGCTCCTTGCCACGCAATTAACAGAGCCAAGGACGTGTGGCTGGGGAGGCAGCTGGAGATAGTTCTCCTCGAGAAGAAGGCTTGCTGGGTGCTGGGGACACTTCCAAACCAGTGACTTTCTCTGCTTCAAGATGTTCCAAAATAGCTCCTTGCAGCTTGAAGCACTGGTTATGTCAGGAGGGAGGCTGTTTTCCAAGGCAGCAGCTTGGCTCATATGTGCCAGGAAGGCACCTCCTGGCCAAGAGCACCCCTCTGACATCCCAGCAGTGCTGTGAGCTCCCTGGGGGGGCTTCACCCTCCTCTGCTTCACAGCAGCCCACGGCTTTTACTGGGTCAGAAGCTGCCTTTCTTCTGTGCCCCTGCTGCTGTCCACTGTTCTTGGAGAGGTGGGGAGCAGGGCTCAGCACCAGCTCCTGCTGCCACAGCTTTGCTTCCCCGGCCAAAAGAGCCCTTGGCTGCCCACTTAGTGGGCAAGACACACGTTTTTATGGTTGTGATTATCGCTCTGTGTTCCTCTCTCCCTTTTGGAGGTTTAAGAGAAAGCATTCAGAAAACAGTTTTGGTGCTTGGCAAGGCGGCTGGAGACCCCATCTGTTGCTTCTTACATTGTTAAGCTGCTCTTTGCTTCCCATGCCAGCCTGGTTTCTGTTAAATGAAGCCTCACCAGGTCACGAGAGCCAAGCAGCTCCTAAATTAGCGAAGACATTAATCAGGTCCCATTTGGATTAGTGCAGGGTGTCTACACCCTCACCCTCCCCTCCATAAATTAAGCAGGTTTTATATCTTCAAGGCTCCTCTGGAATCGTGTCCTCTCTGCCCTCCACCCCCTTCTCAATTGCTGGTGACAAGTATACACAGCTTAATTGGTTGGCATGGAAAAGGGCTGACATTAATTGGCTGTGTTTGGCACGCAGACTTCCCATCTTGCAGCGCCTCCCAGGGATCTTATCAATCCCATCTCCGAGACCAGCAGCTCCGAAGCTCGGCTGCCAGCTAGATGGGTTTTGATTCTTCGCTTCTGATGATTGAGATTTTGCTTGGCTTCCTGGCACTCTGGCTGGGGAAGAGCAGTTTTCACACTGCAGCTGGCAGCTCCTGCGCTCGGTGCACGAGGGCGGAGGGGATCTGCAGGGATCTGCAGGCATCGCCTCCCACCGCTCCGCAGGGCAGGTGGTGAGTGGGCACCAGCCTTCTGCCCCGCACCTCTCCCTTCCTGGGTGTCCACCTGAATTTCAACGTAATGCACCCTATATACTTCCATGGGGTTAGAAAATGAGCTGTAGATTAACATTTTTGGAAGCTGAGGATGTATGTGGGGATGTATATGTTGGGTCTCTGACAAGTTTCAGTATGTGGTTAACTTATTTTAAAGGACAAATTCAGTAGTTCCTTACCCTGATTTTTTTTTTATCCCTCCCCTTACCTGATTAATTCTTAGCCCATCTTCATAATTAACAGTGTGAAAGACAGCAGCTGTCCCTCCTCTCCAAACAATCTTTTTACCATCGGGGAATGATACTTGTACTGGGATGAACAGGAACTTTCTGGTAGCTCTAACTATAAAAATAATTTGATGCTTTTTTTATTACCTGGTTATGACTGCCTGCTTTCACTGTATTTACTTAATAGGGTCCTAAATAGCCATGGATCCCTCCTTGGTGCAATCAGCAGTGCTGTATCAGTATTGGTGTCTGCACTTAATGGTGTTTAAAGCGTTCAAGTAGGATTACAAAGCAAAACGATTGCCCAGCGGAGGGCTCCGGCAGCAGGGCTGGGAGGGCGAGCAGCTGGGGGTGGTGGTTGGTGTGCCTCTGCATGTGATTGCGCTGCAGTTTTCCATTGATTGCCTCTTGGAAGTGATAAAATTCTTTAATTTAAGCATGCACAATCTTCCCTTCCATTGTTCTTCAAACAGAACTTGGACTTTATTAAGATTTGGGGCTGAAAATGAAAGTCAGCAAAAAAAAGAAGGTCCCGAAGGTGAGGTGGCCACCTTCAGACACCTGCAGTGCTCATTACCTCTGGCTCCCTGTGGGACAGGCACCTTCCTGCTCTAATTTCCAGGGAGAAAAGGCCAGGAGAAAACAGGCCTGCTGACACCACATGAGTCGGTGGCAGATCTGGAACAAAACCTTTAGCGGGCTAAAAGAGTTGAAGATAATTAGGCTTCTACAAGTTCTGTGAACGGGGGTAGTTGGAGTGCAGAGAGCAAGCAAGCTCTTAGCAGCTAATTAAAGCTGGGACACGGCTCTTCCTTAGAAGCTGTGGAGGAGATGGATGTTAAAGGCCCAGCCAGAAGCAAAGGTTCATTTCAAGGGTTAATTTCGTTCTGCCATGCCAATGCAAGACCTTCATAGACAGTCTGGCCCTGAGGGGTGGGGATTACCATGGGGTTAGTGAATTCTCAGAGATGGGGCACCCTCCTTTGCACTGCCATGTTCTCACCTGATGCCCTCTCCTTATGTTGTTTCTGCAGCCCTCTCAGGGCTTTCCCTGAGGATCTGCCACCTCAACACACCTTCACTTCAGGGAGCTTAACAATATTCAGCCGAAGCTCTTCGTTAACATGATCCCTGGCTCTCAGCAGCGTGTACCAGGAGCCTTTTTCCCTGCAGTGTTTATGCACTTTAGCTATTTGCAGGATGTTGTCATCTCTCCCCTTGGTTGCTGCTTGCTTGAAGTAGGCAGATGCTGCACTTAAAATACTTCTGTCTGGATTCCCCCAGCCTCTGGATCATTACAGCCTCCCCTTAAACTCTTCTCAGTGTATCAATATCTTTTCTAGTAATTACATGCTTAAAGAGCATGCAATAGCCCCGGTTTTAATACACCCTCTCCAGCCCAGTATAAACACACAGCAACTTGTATACAGAAAACAAACCCGAAGCCTTACTCGGAAAGCTTTCCACTCCATCCACAGCTATCTCTCTTGGGGAGTGAATGAGAAAGAGCACATGCTGCGACTGACAGGCTCTCGGCGTCTCTCAGAGCGCTGTTGGACCGCGTTCAACAGCTAATGGCAGCGACGCTGGGGGAAGGACGCGGGGCAGCGAGCCCGGCTCGCCTCCCTGTCTGAGCCCGCCGTGGTCGGAGATCGTCAGAGCAGCCTTTCTGGGGATGCAACATCAAATGGGAATTGATTTCTGGTTTAATAGTCTAAATGCACCGTAGGAACATCTACCGAAGGAAAAAAGTTCTGCCAGCATCTCCCAGTGACCGTGGGCTGATGAGGTGCTGCCCTGGACTGGGGGACTGGAGGACCTGTGTCTGAAGACCACCAGTTCTCAGTGTTTCAGCACAAATTAAGACGAGCATCCATGAGGTGGTTAATGATGCCTGGTCCTTGCCGTGGGGCTGTGCTGGCCCACAAAGGCTGCCCCTGTTTTCTCATGGCCAGGGCTGGTGGGTGCTGACAGCATCATTCCCTGAAGGTGTGAAGAAGCCAGGCTTGCTGGTTCCACCTTGTCATCCACCAGCGTGGGGAGATGGGCTGTGGAGCCTGCCAGGCCCTCCCGTGCTGGGCATCCCTCATCTGTCAGAGGGAAATGCGGCTGAAAAGTGTCACTGCATGGTGCTGGTGGGCCAGGGACACCCCTGCAAAGGAGCAAATGGTCCTTTGGAAATGACCTCGGGACGGGCTTGTCCCAGGGCTGCCAGCCTGCCACGTCCAGCACTCATTTCCTGGCTGAGGGAAGGAGAGAACAGCACCAGGGAAATATCCCCGGTGTCAGGTGCTTGCAAATACTGGGGTTTGCTGGTGCGTGCCCTGCTGGAGGGCTGTTCTTCACTGAGATAACATTGTTTTTTACCAAGGGTTTCAGTTTCCTCTAAGCATAACTCGCTTTGCTGTTAAGACCTGAATCTCTGCTGATAAAGGAAGACTGAGCTCACAAGAATATAAAGTTTCCAGAGGGTAATTGGAGAACCTCCTCCCTGCCTTGCACTTCCCATCAGCAGGGCCTGCTCCTGCGAGGTGTCTCGCTCAGAGCACGGCGAGGCAGGGACCCCAGCAGAGCATCCTGTTTGCAGGGGGCAGCTGCGGGCAATGATTTTTCCAGGACTGCAATGCTGTTCCAACAGAGGCCAGCACCTCTAAAATCCCAGGGGATGCTCTGTGGTTTCACATCACTCAGGTTTTCACGCTGAGGAATGGGACCTCGGGGTGACTCCTTCCTCCTTTGGCACACACAAAGAGCTCTCTTGCTGTAAGAAATGCCTTTTCATATGGCATTCCTTGTTAACGTAGTTCTTCACCTTTGCCCTAAATTAAAGTGTGATCTAAATGACAGATACTATCTGTTTTTATTGTACTACTCATTTTTCCTTAATCAGATATTAACCTTCATTGCTTTTGCAATGCGGAGGCATTATTGCAGGTGAGTGACCAGTCCCAAGCATTTCAAAAGTCTGGCTAATCTGAGAAGAAAATGGGCCCAGCAGGAGAACTGCCCATGAGGAAGGAGATGAACCAAGGGGTGGAGAGGGAAGGAGAGTTCTGAGGGTGTGACTGTGCTGCCTTTGTCCATCTGACACAGACAAACCCATCTTTTTCTCTCTCAAATCTTCCTTTTGGAGTAACAAATTCTTGCCCTTTTCATACATGTGCAGCAGGTGAAACACACGGAAACAGGCTGCTAAAGGCAGAAAAAAATTAGTTAATTTTTGGGTCAAACTGTTCACTTTGTAACCAAAGTTTCAGAGTGGCTTTTTTTTTTTTTTTTTTGAAGATTTGAGTTGATCTGGGGAGGGGAGGCAAGTCTCCCCCTCCCCATCAACTCTTGCAATTAGGGAGCTTTTTATTCTGTGTGCTGGTAATGTGGGGCCATCTGTATTGGCTCCAGCAGGTCCCGTTCCCCAGCTCCTGTGCTTAATTGCACTTCCATTGGCAACTTGAGCAGTCCCTGCATGTGTTTCAAATGAACTCCCCACTTCAGGCTGGTTTTACAGATCACCTTTTGTGATTGGCAATTAAAACCCCTTTCAGCGGAGGGAGAACTACTGCCTGACTTTCAGCTTGTATCTCCCTCCTTCAGCTTGCTCTTTCACATTTTCTAATACTCGCTCAGGTCCTTATCTATTGCACAGGCCCTGCCGAGGAGCTGTTTGTCTCCCCCGATGGGAAGCGTGCCTTTTGGGAGAGCAGCTGGGTTTTCCCTGCAGAACAGGACATCTCCAGCTGCGCAGCAGATCTGCCCGGCTCTTAGGTGCTCGTGGGGAACAGAGGCGGAGGTGAGCACAAAAAGGGATGGAGAGCAAAGGAGGGCAGGCCGAGCCCAGTGGTAAATCCATCCCCTGAAGCTGCAGCGCAAACAGGAAATGATCTCTTAACGCTGTGCACCTGCATCTCCAGGAACAACATCCAAAAGGGGCCCAAGCCCGCAGCAGGGTCCAGAGGAATGGCGCTCTCGAGTCCAACGCAGGGATTTTTAAGACTCCTTGGCCAGCTCCAGTCCTCGCTCAGCTTCTGGTTCCTGCCTTGCGCCTCTGCCAGATGCGTGCTCCTTTCCCTCCCCTGCAGTAAAGGATTTCTGTGCTGTGGAAAAGCACCGAGGTGGCAGCTCTGGGAGCTGGGGGCTGGCGGTGCCTGGCTGCCCGGCACAGCAGCACTGCTGTGGTTCGTGCAAGGCTGGTGTGTGGGGACAGCGATGCTGCTGAGGGCTTTCAGCAGCCAGATGACCTGGAACCATCAGCACGGTGAGCTCACAGCTCCCGGCTATCCGCTGCCAAAGCTCCTCATCGGAAAAAAAAAAAGTGCGCTCAGATGAAAATGCGCTTATCCCGAGGCTGGGACGGCTGCGCCCAGCCCCGTGTGGAGCCGCCCCGGCTTAGCTGGGCGCCATCGGCCAGGATGGGAATGTCAACGGGACCGAAACCAGTGGGACAGATCTCCTGCCCGGCCAGGAATCCAGTCGGGCTGCTGCGAGGCGGGTGGGTGTCAGCACCCACACTCATTAAGCGCAGGCGAGGCTGTCACCTGGCCGAGCTGCCTCCCGAAGCACAGGTCCTACCAGGTCTGCTGGCTCTTCCATTCGGCTGTGACATGAATTAAAGTGTCTTTAAAGATCCAGTGCTGAGGGTTTCCTCTGACCTCGGAGGATCTGACGGGACTTGAAAGGCTGGGAAGCTGCAGCTGAACTCACAGCGGAAGGAAGGTGATTCCTTGTCAGCCAGACTCGCTGGTTCAGAGACAAATACACTCCCCTGTAATCACTGCTTTGCCAGGAGCTTCACCTTTCCTTTGCAGTGCAGGCAGTGTCCACACAAAGCAGAGCCTGACCTTCGGAGGGATGTGGAGCACTCTGGTGTTGCAGCCACTTCCAAGCCAGAGTCCTCCCCCGTGCTGTGAGACCGAGGTCGGGCGGCGTTCCCAAATCCACTGCACTCGCCCTACAGATGTGGAGGAAGAAAGGGGGCAGAGAGCCTCTGGCAGCAAAGACCTAAAGCTTGGAAAAGCCTGAAAGAAATTGCCTGCAGCTGCTTCTGCAGCAGGCTAAAATGCGAGACATGACAGTACTTCTTGGATCGCAGGGGGGTGGGAGAGGTGTTTTCTGGAGGCTTGCTTCCCCTGTCCCATGGGGGCGTCTAACAGGGTGACTGTGGGATTTAGCTCTGTGATGGGGGGATTAGGCGTTCCTCAGCAAAGACGGTTTCACATTCTTTCACCCTGATTTACCACTCGGTGCTTTCCTTCCCTGCACAGAAATCGTCTCGCTCAGCCCCCTTCCAGTTACGGCGTTATAAGGGTTTACAGCCCAGCGTCCTTTTCTAGTGTATTTGCCTTGATTTAATGCTTTGATTTGAAAGTTATTTTTTACAATAAGAGAAAGATGGTCCATGCCAAAAAAAGCAGTTTCATAAAATGCTGAACATGACTTGCATTCTGTAATTGCAAACCTGAGAGACTTGGAGTAATTGACATTTTGGATGTATTGCAGAGTATCGTATTTAATCTTGAAAAGCAGGTTCCAGGCAAAGGAGGCAACTGCCAAACCAAACTCAGACTCCTCGCCGGGTTCCTACCATAACTCATTTTCAAATCCATTCAGCACAGTCCTGAACCCAAATGTTTACGTTTTTGATTTGCTAAGATAATATTCCTGGGTCACCGAAACTGTTTGTCAGGGAGCGTCTCGAAGAGACAGCCGGACTCGGCGATGTGCCGGCCCAAGTCTCGTAGGCGTGCGAGGGCCCTGGTGCTTTCTGGCTCTCCGATGAGCTCCTGGAGAATCACATCTGTCTCCCAGGAATGCAGTTCCCCTGCTGCATGGGATGACTGATATCTCGCCTTGTTGTCCAGTTGCTCTCACATTGCCTGCCCGATGGCGGTGTTGAGGCTCACGGCTCCGTGCCGTAAGCGCACGGTGTGCAGGCTCCTGCTCCAGGGCGCTGAGGGGCCGTGCCGGTGGCTTTTGAGCTGCCAGGATATCCATTCGCGAGTGTGTGAAATTGCATAAATGTGGGACCGGACACAAATTAAATTTCACAGGAGTGTGACTCAGTGTATGTGTATTTTTGTCGGTGCATGACTTCAGTGCGTGTGTAATTTTATAAATGTGTAGGATGTGACTGATGCTTGGTAAATGCGTCTAAGGCGGGAGAAGCGTTGCAGAGGCAAGCCAAACTTTCAAGTTAACCCACGGGTTCTCCTTTTCCTTTGTCTACAAGTGCAGCTTCTGTAAAGTATCTGTCCCACATTATCGTGGTTTACAGCCCGGCTATAAACATTTGCTTCTGTTTGAAATGCAACAAATATAAGCGGAAATCTGCTCTCTGCTTTATGCGTCCCGGTAAAAGATACCAGTTGAAGTTTTTAAAAAGGCCAGCCCTCTTCTTGCAAACAGAGTGTTTACATTGCCACAGATTCCAGTGGAGCGAATACTAATTTACAACGGTGCAAATGAAAAGAAAGCAGAAAGCCCAGGAATGTAAGAGGGGAATTATACACCCTGACCATGGAAATGAAGACGCAGCCCTGGCACCGCAGCTCTGAAAGCACCGGCTGAGCCGCATTCATAGCGGGCCAAGTTGTGACTCTGACTCGGGTGAGGCCAGCCCTGGAGCTGGTGGTCAGTAAGGTGTCCCCATGGGAGACCTTTGGGGACCATAAGCGGCTTCTCCCGACAAGGCCATCGGCTTTGTGCCATGCTTGTTTATTGTAGCAGCTCCCAGCATTGTCAGGATCGGGACTGTGCTGAATTTGGTGCTATATGCATGTGCTGGGAATGCTGCCCTTGGCCTCGGGGGGCTCCCAGGCCTCCCCGGGCTGTGAGGGGAAGGGGAAGGAATCCATCCCTTCCTTCTGCGGGGATGGATTTTCCAGCAGCGCTGCCAGCACGGTTTGGGGACGATTTGGGGGTCAAGGCTGGCATCGATGGGGAAGGGGTTATTATTTGCCCAGCTGCACATCTTTATTCATAACGTGCCCATTGTTCTTAACATTTTGCATATTTCATTGTGAGAAATGGGGCGGGAAGGGGGGAAGCAGTCGCCGCATCTCTGGGAGTTCGGCTGCTCTTTTATTTCCTCCAAGGCAGGCTGCCGCGGGAGCCCGTGGCTGTCAGGATGTTCACATCTGTTCCTGATTTGTGGACAATGGAGCACCATCCACTCGCTGCACATGTACGGTCTGTGACAACTTGACAGCCTGCCCAGGAATTCAGACCGAGCGGTTACTATCCAAAGCCATCAGCGTTGTCTGATCCAACATTAGAAGCAGGGAGGGAGGGGTTTGCGATTTCAAAGAGAGGGAAATAAAAGTTGCCTTTTTTTTCTTTTTTTTTTTTTTTTTTTTCCTTTTTCCATTGGCACTTGTGATGAGTGGCATTAGAGACTCCCTTTATCTGGCAAGAGGGGGTGTTTGGAGCATGAGCAACAGGAGCTGGTACGCTTCAAAGCTGGCCCTGCCATGGGAGGGGAGGTGGGCAGGAGTGGGCTCAGCCTCTGCAGCTCGTTCTGGAAGAAAATATCTGCTCCTGCAATTATCTGCCTGGCAGGAGGGAGGTTCTCCATCTGCCCCTCTCCATGCACAGGAGCAATCCAGGGTGGCGCATCCTGCCCACGCAGCAAGGCAGGGGGATGCAGGTTCGTTAGAGTCTGCTGTTCCTCATCTCCTTTGGCTTGGGATGTGATTCCCAAACTGCAGGGTGTGCTGCTCCCCCTTCCCCTTACACCACCTCAGTGCAAGGACAACAAAACGCAAGAGAAATGGAGGGTCTGGCCAAGAGCAGGGCAGAGGAGGTGACAGCTCCGTGTGCGTGCTCTGGGGCTGCCTTCCTGCTCCGCGGCACGCGAGCTGCGTCGCTTCATCTCCTCCTGAGCAGCAATTGGGTGTAAGTAGGTCTGAGCAAGCCTGACAAAATACAAGGGACCTAAATTACATTACCTTGCACACCAGCTCTGAATCTGACCTTGGGGATTAATTAGATAAACAACAATCTTGTACTGTACCTTATATAAATGTACAAGCAAGGCACCATTAAGGATTACCTTGTCACTAACCTAAGCCCTTAGTGATTTAATTAGACAATTAGAGGGTGCTTGGGAATGCTCTCGTAGTAACCAGAGATATTAACACCATTTGTATTTATATTTAATGGCATTGCAGAAGGGATTTTAATTATTCTGAGTCTTACTTGTCTTTAAACTTCCGAGGAGGAAATTCTCCCCTGACTGTGACAGTCTCGCAGGTGCTGGCGCAAGCATTGGCTTGGGCAGGTCCAAGGGGCAAGCCCCTTTCCGCTGGAAACCAGTGTTGCTCCTAGGAAGAAGGCTTTTTTTGTGAAGACGGGGTGGGATTTACTGGTCCCTAGGTGCGGGCAAGAGGGGAAAACAGCCCCCGGCGTTCTGCCTCCCGAGCAGCAGTAAGTACTGAAGCTGGGTCTGTAATGACTGCGCAGCGGAGAGGTTTGTGCGATGGTGCTTGGGATGGCAAAATCAATGGCGCGCTCAATAACTGTACATGGAAGAGTGATCGGCGTGTTTCGCGGTCCTTGGCAGGCTGTAATGGAGTGGGATGTTTATTGGCACTGCAGCCAAGGTGTTCGATAGGGCCTCCCTCCGTCAGGCAAGGCAAACTCCGTCCTGCCCTGGTCCTCTGCAGAGTCCCGGCCACCAGCAGCCACACGGCAGCTCAGTGATAGCCGATGCAATCTGGCAACTGGGGGAAAGCCTTCAGCTCACGGCAGCTCCAACCTAATTTAGGATATGAGCTGGAATCCCCGAAGGAGGGGAGTCTTTGTCTCAGCACGGGGTAGGTCTCAGCCCCTTCTTCATCAATAGCAGCCACGTGCCCTTTCTTCCTGCCTTCCTAAAGATGCCATTCTTGCAATCTCTCTGCCAATAATTGTATTTTCACTGTATTACAGCCCCAGTAATACAATTAAGCCTAAATAATATAGATGAAGTGGAGAGTAATCTGATTTGCTAACTAATGCTTGAGTCAAGTAGATTTTTTTTCCTGTTTTCCTCAATGTACAGTTGACTAAACCCACAGCCATTCCTCCACTCCCTGCCCTTCAGTGGAACGTGGACGCAGAGGGAGGGGTGATTCATCAGAGGGACGCAGCCAGCCTTCCAAAAAACGAGAGGGCATTTGCTTTGGTTTTCTACGTGGAAGGGACTGGAACCCTCCGGGGAGCTATGCATGAGGCAGCGAATGGGATGTCCTCGGATAATCAAAGACAATGAGGAGAAGTGGGGTCAACGATCCGTTCAAGGAAAGCATAAGGCACATGATATATTGAGCAGCTCCGGAGCGCGGTGATTTGACAACAGCCTGCTCCGAGCCATCTGGGCAGGAGGCAGGGTGGGAGGGCCGGGGTGCGAGACGGGCACCGCGGGTGGGCTCGGGGGGCTGCAGGCACCGCCGGCTGCTCGACGTAGGCACGCACGCAGCCGAGGCATTGGGGTTATGTGGAGCCTTTGCTGGCCTCCACATGAAAGAAAAATCCTCTTTGGAATCTAAAAGGGGGATGTTCACGTATGGCCTGGTTTTCTGGGAGCTGATTAGCTGGATGTGAGCTCGGTGGGCTGAAGCAGAGGGTTACTGCAGCCATTCAGGGTCAGGACTTTGGTATGTTGTGTCGCTCTTTTCCATTTGCAAAGAGCAAAAATATGAGAGCAGACCTCGAAAAACCTGTGTAAATAAGAAATAAGAAAGGAAAAATAAAACCGCAGGGAACAGCTTCCCCTCATATGCTTTGCTCTGCCTTTTTTAGGCAAATCTGCTGCTGGCCCATGCAGCCCCCGTCTTCCCGAGCTGTGGGGTCCCAACATGTCGGGACCCCCCCCGTGCCCAGGCGACCACCGGGGGACAATGTAGTTTCATGGCATGGGGACCCGCTTTGGAGGCAACCTGCAGCAGTGCCTGGGCTCCACCACCTTGTAGCTGCGCTCTGAAGAGGGCCGCAGAGAAATATTTTGCATATCCTTCTTGTTTATTTATATAATCAAAAAGATATGCTAAGCATTGTGTTTGGAGGAAGGAAAACAACAGTACGTGGCCTTGGGAGGGTGCCCCGTGTTCAGGCCCTGCCTGCTCGGAGTAGTTGCTGACAGCCCGTTTATTTGGGGGGGCTCTTGCTGTGCCAGGCCAGGTCTCTGGCACATCCAAGCAGCAAGCAGAGGCACGGAGGGAGCTGAAGCAGCAGTCAGCGGTTAGGTGATGGCAGAGGAAATGCCAGGAGATGTTTTGTTCAAGGTAGATGTGCTCCCCAGGCTGCCAGATGATGAAGGATTTTTTGGAAAAATAGTGTCTTTCATGTGGGTTTAGGTCCTCGTTGTGAGGAGTTGGCTAGGATTAAGTGTCCCGTTGGGTAAGAGCCCTGGGAGCAGCCTCCTGGGGGTGCCCGAGCTCTCCTACCGGGGGGGCTGGCTGGAGCCAGCAGTGTACGGGTGGGCAGGGAGGTGGGATGGGGGTTCAGGCATGCTGCCCAGTGCCCCTGCACACCACACCCTGCTCTTCCACCTCCTGCTGCCTCCCAGCCCTTGAGCAAACCCAGAGCCTCGGCAGTGCCACAGGGAGCTGCAGCCCCTCCTTGGAGAGGGCACGGGCACTTCTGAAGCCTCCAAGCAGCCCAGCTGCACCCACTGCCTGCGGCCACCCTCTGGGGGGGCTGCCCCAGCCGTGAGGAAGCCCTCTTTGCTGCTGGAGGGTGGTGATGTCCAGATGAGCGTCTGCTTTGAATTCAAAGTGGAGCTGAGGGCTCCACTTATTAATCCTTTATTCCAGGCTACAAACTGGTTTGTGTTCCCCCTCACCCTGCCATAATCACGAAATGCCCCACAGCAGCATGGGG